CAGAAATGAAAATGGAAAATAGATGTACCTATCTTGAATGACCTTTAACAAGAACTGATCTCAGTAGAGAGTGGTACATTGAGAAAAACATTTTTATTCCAACCTTTTCTTCTGCTGATATTTCACCTAACAATGGCCAAACAAAAACAGCCAAAGCGCACGACCTGAAAGCTGAACCCTGTTAGGGATCAGAATCAGCCAAGCAAAACACTGTATTGCGTGTGCACGGCAGCTAAATAACACCATACCTGCCATGGTTCAATCCATTTTCAATCTACTTCTTCCACCTCCAAAATTTGCAGAGAAAAAAAAAACTCATTGGGACTATTTTGAACTGGCAGAGCGAGGAGAATCTCATACTTATACCTTCACACTCTCGAACATTAGAAATTCATTTGCATTCACAAGCAACTCAGCCCCAGAGGGGGTCTGCAGAAATATGTCGGATTGTTTAGTCAAAATTACAATACAGCTGGGGCAATTTATCTTTTGAAAAGCCTGTTAATTTGTTCAGGAGGAAATAGTGTTTTCATTTGCATGTTGAATAAGGAGTAGCTGGAGAACCTTTTACCAACCTGTTACACCACACTCTCCTTGGCTAATGAGGCAGGGAATTACTGATTCCACTGGGAGTCTTTAACATGACGAACACACACACGTGTGCGTATGTCTGTGTACATGTGCAGGGGTTGCAAATATATCGCCGTGTACAAATGTATGTGAAAATGCAGATATCCATCTTTGCATGCTTTGTTTAATGCCACGGGGATTTAAAGCATTTAATTACATTTAAAATAATCACATTAGATTAGTTTTGATCAAATGCAGCCAATTACACAATGAAGAACTAAAAAAAAAAAGACCCTAATAATAAAATTGCCCTTTGAAAAGAGTTCTAACTTTAATGTGCAGTAAGGTGAGGAACTGGCAAAGAAAGCAGCAACTATTACTTTTAACATGTTATGCGACATAAGCAAAAGTATCCAATAGCCTTGAGATACTTTGGCCACTTTCATTATATATATATATATTTGTTTTTTAACACAGACAAAAAGGGTCAGTGGAGGAATGTTGACCGGAGTAGAATAATGACAGTTTTCTGGACTACATTCTCTTTGAGGCTAGGTTTCATAAGAAAAAAGGAGGAGGCGCTGATCTTTACGGTCAGTCTCAAAGCAGAAATATTCACCAAACGTTGTCCATTGATTGCATGCATAAGAGCAACTTTGATATATTTTTTTTCCTGCATTTGCAATAAAAAAAAACAAAAAAAAACAAATCTTCTCATTAAATTTAGAAAAATTAAACAAGTGTGTAGAATTTAAAGGCCAGTGGATTCTGCTCCTGGGGAAGATGGTAGACAGGTATACATACACGTCTACCATGCTGACTAATCAAAGAGCTTTTGATTAGGTGTTTGGGCCTCCTATCTGCTGCATTCTGTTCGATCGCATCAAAACACATCAAAGGATGCCATGGTTCCTAAAATGTACCCAGAGTGGGAGATACATTGTCTATCTGAAATATATTGGTAGGGAGCACAGGTGTCTGAATGATCCCAAATTCACATGCAAATTGTCTGAAAAGCAAATTGAAAAATTGTCTGCCACATGTTTAATGAAAGGACACAATTCAAGGCCTTTTCAAACCAATTCAATTCAAACCAAGAAATCCAAATAGCTCAGACTGAATGAAACATTTCTGCACACAAACATTTTTTCACACTCTGAAAGAAAATAAAGAATCAAACCACTATAAAATGGTTTTCTCTTTTGCCCTCATATCATATTCCCTGACCAGGGCTGCACACTACAATATTTGCTCTAAAAAAGTCCTAAAAATGCAGTCATACAAAAAAAGCATTAAAAGTAAAATGGAGATTAAAAACAACACTGATACCATCTGACAGCAGCATGTGTGCGAATAAGGGCTGTCCAGAGAGATTCTGATATTCTTTTGTCACAAGTTTTGCCTGTGGATGAGGGGGAGGGAATGGATTAGACAGGGGGTAAAGATAATGGGGAAGGAATAGAGTAATCCATAAATAGTTAATGATGCCTCAGCAGCTGAAAGAAGTACACCAAAGCTACTTAAGCTAAACTGTCCATGCACACACCCACACTACAGCAAAGGCAAATATTGGTTGGAAGTAAGCAAAGAAATAGACCGAGATGGAGAAGATGAAGCTCTCTGTTCAACAACATAGAATTATGGAAAACACCAAAGTCACACCCCAGTCCCTCGACACCAATGACAGAGTATTTGAATCTAAACCATCTTCACTAGGACATCGTCTATTACTGATATTTGTTAAAATGTAGGATCGGGACATCGAGCAACTGAAAATATAATAGTGAATCACATTGTATTACATTTTTCGCTCTGAGAGCCACAAGCAATGCACAACACAGCTATTTGAGATATTAATATTCAGCAAATAGATGTTCACTTACAGAGTTTGCCAAGATGGCAGTGAAGTAGAATAGGGTATCTTGCTATTTTTAAACTCTTTCACACTTAATTTCTCTAATGAGGTATTGTAGTTGAATTTTGTGTCCCAGTAGAAAAAAAAACATTTATTTAAAAAGCAGAAGCTCTGAAGGGACAGGGTGCAACACTGGTGCAAAGAGGCACTGAAGGAAAAATAACACCTTCGGAGTTCGGATTTATACACTTGCTGACAAATGTGATAAACACACACTGCAAGTGCTAATACTTCATGGGAGTTCATCATCACTGGAGTGAGAGAAAAAGCAATGAGGCTTTTGGCAGATATCCTGCTCACCCAGGGTTGACAAATTGCCAAAGCCCTCTGTCACAACTCCACTTTGAGGCTGCTAACTGTTTCATCTGCCATGATTTAGATCTCAGGCGTAAAAGTAACCTAGTGGAAATACACGTTCCTTACACCTTAATTTGCATCACACAACATGGAGCAATTACAGTCACTTTGAATAGTAATTTGTTTGCGGGACGATCAATGAATCAATATGCCGCTGCTGCTCAGATATCACCTCAGATAGAAATACAAAATGTCTACAAACCTGCAATTTTAAGAGTAAGAATATAAAACAAGCTAAATCACCAGTGTAAAGGTGCAATTAAGCGATCCACAGACAAGCATAGGTGTTTGCAGTTAGGATGTTGCCTTGAGCTCAAGTACCTAATAAGCTTGACAATGAGTTGGGAAGTTACAATAACAGCGAGCAAATCACCTCTGCAAAACACTTAATTCATCACATTTGTCTTTAGATGCATTGCATTACGAGAGGCAAAGCAGAATGGCTTGCCTTTCCATTTGCAGAGCCTTCCTGAAAAGCACTACTGAAAAATGTGGTTTGACAAATTGGGTTTGTGGAAAAGTCATCAGTTGTGTAAGCAAGAAACATGGCATGAGATCCATATCAAGCTTTAATCATCAGTAGTTAAATGGGCTGGACTCTCCAAGGGTCTGTCCCCGCTCATAAGCCTGAACATCTTGACATCTTTAACCATGCATGCTGTAAATCAGAGAAAGAAGAACCTTATTTGCTTCCCAATTGATTCACAGAAGCAAACACATCCATATCTCCATTTTATATGTGATATAAACTGCGATTCTGGCCTGTTTAAGACGGTTTTCAACTTCACTGGCATCAGCCATTTTTAAGCAATGGTCTGCTGGGGCCGCAGCATCTTGACTGCCCAGAGGAAGAAGCTCAGTTAACAATTCAGGAAGGCAAATTCTGTCCTGGGGTGACCCTTTGACCCACTGCAGGTAATGGGAGACAGAAAGATTCTAGCCAAGCCATCATCACTCCTGGACATCTCTCCCCTCATGCCGGACTCAGTGGTGGCGCTGAAAAGCTGCTTTGGTGACAGGTATGTACTCTTAAAGTGTACAATGAGTGCCTTTCTTTGTTGCACGCCGTCCAATCGGCACTGCTCACAGACTGAAAGCACATGACCACCAAAAAGATGAAAGCTCCCTCGCGTCCAACTGTGCAATATTGTTTAAATCAATGTGAAATGAATGCTGCTGTGCAATACCTGTGCTTCTGCTGCAGTCATGGCAACATCCATACAGTAGGTATCTATTTCTGTGTTGTTTCTTCATTCTTCTTTTCTTGCAGGTTTTGTTTTCCTTATATTAAGATCTTTTAAAATGATTAAAATAACAAAAAAATGTTCTTAACATTATGAAATTAAGTAGAAATGATCTATATAAGATTAGATTTTGTCTAATCAAATTTTAAATATAAATTTTATCCTTTTAATATATTCTTGTTGGATTAGCTTGTGTTCTTGTGTCTTATTTTGCATCTTGATTACAATACAAATTTCCCTATTGAGGAAGAATATAAACATATTCAAATCCATTCTCTTCTAACTTGATTTTAGGCAGATTTCATTCATTAACAACCAAATAAAGGTAGTATGTGTATTTTAAACCCTCTCAGTAGAAGAAGGGTATTTGTGGTTCAAGCTAAATATCAGAGTGAGTTATAGCAAGCATGCTAATCACACCAATTCCTCATCATTATGTTCATTAATGAATACGAATTTGCCTGGAGTCTTTATTTATTTATTTTTTTCTTGCCTCTAAGAACAAATAAACTTTGATTACTATCAATTAATGGGTTTTTATCATACTATCATTTTCACATAGATAACTCGTTTCATGAATAAAAAAAGAAGGAAACTGGTATCTTCTGAATACATCCACCAGCTTTTTTCCTTCATTTGACTTTTTTTCTTTTTGCTGTGTTTTGCTTTTCTTTTCTTAACTGAAAGGCATACCCAATTGAGTACATTTTAAAAGTTTTTTGCAGGCAAATCAATAATCCCACACTTAGATTACTTTGACTTCACAAAGTTGCTGCCAAACCACAACAGCACTACTTATAGGACAAAAGGCAGTGTGATACCTGACCTTTTATGAGGAAAGCGAGAGCTCCAAAACAAAAGTGCACATTCAACAACATTTTACCCGACGTGACTCCAGAGAAACTCAATCAAACTCACCTGAGGGTGAAAATCTGCACAGAGGAAAGTGTGGAGAGAGCCAGAAAGGTTGAGACAGTTTCTCTCTGTCTGATGGGTTTGGAGGGCGCCATCACCACAAAGTTGTTGTCCAGTTTCAGCTCGGACAGCGGCTGAAACAGCCTGACACTCCCAATGCGCTGCATAGGCGTGTGGCCTGCATAGTAGCCAAGTGGCCTCTGCTGGTCCGAGCGAACCGGGCTGTCCTTTCTTGAATCCTCCGAGCTGCACTCTCCGCTGTCTGTGGTCTGGACCATGTAGTAGAGCTCCACCGGGGTGCCCTGAGCCTGTTCCGAGACCCTCTGCCTCCCGGGCCTCACGGTGGGCAGGCTGAACCAGCTGGCCAGGGGCTCCAGCTCGGCCACACATATCCCCAGCTCACCTTTTAGTCTGCATGTCCCTCGCACTTCTTGGGTCTCGTGAAAAGCAAACATTCGGATGCAGGGCAGTTTGTGGATGGCACTGTAATCGTCCCAGTCCCTGCCCGCGATGTAAAACAGCACTTGAACTTTTGGCCAGCTGGGGTGAATCCGCTCGCTGATAATATAGGTGTGAACCTTCCAGTTGAATGTAAAAAGAGGTGACGACGTTGGTGATGCTGGCACTGAAGATGCAGCGAAGGGTGGCGGGTTCAACGGCCCCGGCAATGTCTGCAGCATCTCCAGAGGAACGGGCTGCTGGACGGACAGCGGCCCATAGCTAGCATTTACAAAGGGCATCTGCCGCGCCTGGTGGATAAAGAACGACTCTGTGCGAGCTTGCAGGCTGGAGTTCCTCATTATGTCCTGGTTCGCCTCCAGCAAAAAGAACGCCGACTCAGCATTGATGATCCGGTAGCTGACAGGCAAATAGATTGGCATGGGGCTGTACCTCTGCAGGCCATCCAGGATCATTTTGCTGTCCACCACTGGAAGGGAGAGAAAATAGCGATAATGCATCAAGCAAGTTTTAGCAATCAGGAAAACATTTGTGAATTATTGCATTTATAAACATCAGCGACAAATGCTGATGGAGGCATGAAATCCAAGAGAGTGGTAAAATTGGTTGGAGTAAAAAGAACAAGCGTGATGGTGTAATTTCACATTTAATATGGCATTTGCATTCATTGGCTGTAACCTAGATACTCAAATCTACAGCCACCTCCAGCAATGAATGTTTAACCAGCTTCTATGAGACATTTCAACATGATATCATTTTCATGAATCACCACTCTTAAAAGAATTTGATCTGAAGAATTGTGCCTTTCTCAGTCATGTGCTCATTTTTTTTTTTGTTATTTTCATCGTTACTCATTAATTCATTGTTTCGCAAAAAATCTTGTAGTTCCCTCAAATTCTTCATTGTTTTGCTTTTTTCTGCTTTGTCCTTAAACAGTTTTAACTTATGTCCAATATGTGTTATTTATGAGACCCTCCAAATAAAATACATATTTCACTTTACCCCAGAGAGCCTATTGGTGGCACAAAGGAGGTCACTGAGCAGACTGAACAATTTGAACATTGTAAAAGTTAGAAGTCAGTCAAAAGCAATAATATCAATAGTCTCATAGCGTGCATTGTCTCTTCGTCCCGCCTTTTAATCTCCAAGTACCTTTGATTACATCTTAAGTAAAACATTAGAATGATTTGAAATTATACTAAAATATAAGTTTTTTGTGATGTTTCTTTTAGTCTTAGAATGTGTGTTAGTGTGTTTCATTTGAAAAGTACACAACCTCAAAATGCTGTACGTTTAAAAAACTAAAATCATAATTACAATAAAAACTCATCCATTCCAGTTGATCTACCAACCCTCTGGTCTTCAAGTTTTGCTTTGAAGACTTGAAGACCAGAGGGGAGGGGGGGGTTGAAATAACTTGTTTAATTCCCAATGCAGTCCATTCTTAAAGCAATGGCATCCAAAGAAGCCAACCCTCCAATGACCTTAAAACCTGCCTCATCACTCCCTCTCCCCAGCCCCTAAATCCTCCCCTCTGTCTCCTCACCATCAAGCATGAAGCCTCAGATATTTGGACTGATGGAGAAGCCCATTAGAGTCCATTGATTTTCTGTCCTGAACCCTTCATGCTGCAGGAGACATGGCGTGGTAGTGATTTGTGACAATCTATGGCCGCAGAGCAATGACTGGCTCACCATATGGACAGAAGCAGTGCCAACAGCGGCACTTCAAAAACAACAGCACATTGAATCGTTAACCCACCTACTCAAGTGAACAGACTGGTTCTGTAAGTTTTTAGAATAATTCAAACTAAAGTCCTGTTAAACAAGTGGGGGACTGTATTGGAAAAATATTACAATTCTGGAATTCTTCCCCCTGTCTGGGGCATGCAACTCAGCAGGTCTTATTCTATCTGGGACCTTTGTCTCCACCACAGCCATGAAATTGGGTTGATTATCCAGACAAACAAAACGCCCAAGTGGAAAAATCAAATTACAGGCCTCTTTCTTCTTGATATACGTATGTTTGCATGATTAGTAAAACATCTTACATTTACATGAGCCCCTAATTAGAATACTAATAAGAAATTAAATATCTAAATGCATTGCAGGATGTTTAAGCAAATTATTTCATGCTTTCTTTTAGCATCTTTGCAACTGTTTCGGAAAACCGTGATGGAAAGGAATAAAAAAAAAACAACAAACACAACAACCCAGGGAGACAGTAGCATTATATTACCCCTTAAAACAACAAAAACCAACACCAAGGCGAGCAGGCTCACAGCTGATGCTGGAACATGTTGACACCAGAAAGAGGATTTTCATGTCTATCCTTCTCATTGGCAGATGAGACAACACACTGTCCTAGTTTTAATTTGGTATAACACGCATGGAATCACAAAGCTAGTTACAGTATAAGGACTGTGTCATCTGTAACTTTAGATTTAGAATATTTGCCTCTTCTTGACTTCAACGGGACAGCGTAAATAGAGAGGTAAAGCTTGTGTGATTTGCGGCCCCGGGTTGCCCTTGGATTTCAAATCTGCAGCTACCATACTTGTAAATTGTGGGTGCAGGACTGATGCCGCAAATGAAAAAGGGAATGATTTGTGTGGATAACTTAACCTCTGTGGTAAATCTTGGTTGTAAACACTCGAAAAGGAATTTTGGGCACTGACAACCCCTTAGGACATGGCACGAGGAGTCTGATCACATATCAAACATGCAGCTGAACCAAACCTCATCATAAGACAGATGTTAGATTCAGGATTTAATGTCTTGATGTTATATTCATGTTGTGTGAGCCAGGGGCTGGGAGACTTATGTGGTTACAAATTAAAATGTATTCAAAAGATTTCCATGCCCTTCCTACAGCATGGAGAATGTGACATGCATGGACTTGGAACTTTCCTCTTTCTAGAGCTATGGCAAGCAAGTAATAAAATTCATTCTAAAAACTGTAATTAAAACATGTTAATCCTCAAAACAGATGTGTGGCATTTGATATACCACTTTTAAGAATCACCTGTTCTTTTCCCAGGCTGGTGAAACTTCACCCAAGAAATATGATTCTTTCATCTTGCATCCCCTCTCCTCCTCTTCTCATACTGTTTTATCCTCAACTATGTGAGCATCAGCCACTCCCAGATCAAACATATTAAGTTGGCCAACTTCAGTAATATGTTAATCAAATAGAATTTCTTATATGGGATTTATGGATAAAGAAATGTTCAAGGTAAGAGGTGGGAAGATGAACAGAGGATAAAGTGCGGAGGTGGAAGTGTTTGGGGATTGTTCTTTTTCAGTAAGAGTTCAGTAAAAGTGACAGAGTACAGCATAAGGGATTATATCTCTGTAGGAGGCCTACTGAAGCTTCAGTAAAAAGAGTTCACAGATTCCCAACTTGCTGCTCCAACTTCTCTTAACTACTTTTATTTTTACTAATAAAACAAGTGCAGTGTGTTACTGACAGACAAGAAGCACTCATTTGATATCTGGTGCAATAGTTAATCAATTTAGTATTTATCTCATCCCTTTTTGTCAATACCAGACTTTAAATCAGGTTCTTGTTAGGGGAAAGGAAAAAAATGTCTAAGCGCTTGAGTCCAACCCTCTTTGAATGATTTATTTCGCTGATGGGAATTCATCTATATGGAGCGGATGTGGACGTGGGAGAGACTGGGAATAAGAATAATTTTGTGTGGAATGTCTTCCAGTGAAATTCCAATTGATCTCATCTGATTAGGGAGTTAAATAACATGTTGTTAATTGTAATTCATAACTTGTAATTCATAGCTGTTCTGCACATAGATAAATAAAACAAGCACAATATAGTGCATGTGTCCTGATTTAACTTGTAATGTTGACACCTGTATGAATATGCTTTTGATTAGAAAGAAAGAAAGATGGGCTGTGTCTTGTAATACTGGTATTCAAAAATCCTATGAAATCCTGTACATTTACAGCGTAAAACTTTAAGGCATGATCTTTGCATTGGAATTTCTTATGTTTCACCATCAATGGACCAACTGTAGGTGAGTGTGAGACCTAGCATTATCATTTTCAGCTCCTGAACAATAGACTAAAAAGGTTATTTTGGAATCTTGGAGGGGCGGATATAAATGTCAGCTGCTGCACAGATGGAGAAATTACCAATGGCAAAGTCAGAAAGCCAGTTTCTGATAAGCGCTTATGTGCACATCAAGGAGAGAGGAGACGGACTGCCTTCAACGGGAACTCAAAACTATTCAAAACATTCTTCTGACTCAGGACTGAGTTCCATAAAGCTCACTGAACCTAACAGCCCCAAGAGCAAAATGAACCAGTTTCCCTTCAAAAATTGAATTACAAGCTCAAAACGAGAAACTAATCAATATGTCCAATTTGGATACTTTTCCAAAGTCGCCCTTTCACATTTTGGAAAAAAGGGATCTTCAGTGAGACCATCAAACAGAAAACCTTATTGAGTAGCGAGCAGCAGATCTCCCAGTTAATGAAATGTCTTGGATGATATCTTAACACGAACTAATAACAAAGGAGCACTAATCGCTTTAAGTGCCGTCACATGCACCCTGACACTGAATGAGAACCAGGGCAGAGTAGAGCGCCCACTCCCAGCAGGAGGTTAATCGGATCACATAAAAGCAAAGCACACCTCATCTTTCATCACTAGGCAACACATTTATGCAGCAATCGATAGGGGAATCATATTTTCCCCTTTCAGAGAAATGAGGGAAAATGAAGTATTGTGACCTGACCGATATGATGGAGCAGGGCTTCATTTCTTACAGATATCAGCAATAATTCTTGGACTCGTGTTTCTTGAGAAGTTGAGCTGTTTTTGCTTTGGGTAAATTGCATGGCCCCTTTAGCTTCAAATTGGCCTCTATGTTATTCATGTCAACAAAATCTAAGTCTGATCCTGAGGAGCTTCCAGCACGTGCTTTTATCTTCCTCTTCCAAGCAACAGTATCTCTCCTTTCAACTAAAACATGCGTAGCAGTATCAAAACAGAAAAAACATTCTGTTGATGAGCACTTGTGTAAAACCTTGTAATGAAACCAATTACAGAAACAGAAGAATACATACCGGTAGAAAAAACACACAAGCACTTAATTGGTCATTTGAATTTTGAAAAGCAATAATTTTCAAAGATAAAAGGTGCAGAGAGAGAAATACTTATCTAAATAAATCAAATTTTTATGTTTGAAATCATAAATGTGTTGTTGGCTCTGCCTTTGGATTAGTACATAGGTAAAGTAAGTAAGAGGGAAAAATGAATATACTAACAATTAAGACCATTTCAGGTACAATTACTCTTTGAATGCTTTTTGGGGGGATTACTACTTTGTCTGGCATGGGGGACCATTAAAGTTGCCGTATTTGTTTTCTGTTTCTTTAGGCACAAAACATCCACATTATAGCTTCAAGGCTACAGTCAAAGATAAGAGTACAAATTTCCTCCTTTTCTCAGCAGGATAGGAGATAAAGAAAGTACATAT